TATAAACACCAGCACATATCAGTCTCTGGTGTTTATAGCTTCAGAGCAAACAAAACACATCATTCATAACAGAAACAGCTCGCAATAGCCACAGGAACGTTGCTGCAAGACAGGCATATGTAACGACGACTTAGCGCTCTTAAACGCGTGTGTCATTAAATACAGTCCTCCTGACAACAGGCCAGTGAAAAATCTAACAATCTACAGCAAAACCATCAATTATTATGGGCGTTATAACATACGTGTGCAGCTGTGCGAAACATACACGTCGAACCCCCCCAGACGATTTAAATACCTGACGAAACATACACGTCAAACCACGGCAACGGGTTAAATAGAACTCTACAGAAATTACAGGATTTGACACCCATCATGATTCTAACAATTTTCTTTTGCAAAGTAAATACCTTTCTACTGTCGGATGAATTATCCCCCAAAAATATTCCACATACTTCATTAAAGATTGAAAATAAGCAAATAGATTGATTTGAGAGTGTCAATGTTACTAATATGTAACATGAAACTAACTGCATAACATGTTTTCTTGGCTTTGGAATCAACTCATTTCTGTTAAAGGCTGAGTTGATTCCAGGGCACACCTTTTTACTGGTAAGAAATGCTTTATATAAATCAGGAATCATGTAGTAAAAAGGTTCAGGTGTTACCTCAACTTCTTTGCTGCCAACAAACAACCTGCTACCTTCTTCAAGTGTTGCTGTTTTCATTCCAGAACACTGACCTATTATCTTCCCATCTGTGTCCTGAAACAATAGCAGTATAAATGCCTCACATTTCTTCTACCTTTCAAACAAACTCTATCAACAGCAGAACATAATTTTTGTAATGATTTTGAGTACTGTTTCAAACAACAAAAACTGTGCAATGACAAATGCTATGTAATGCAGCAGTTCTTAACATTCTGCAGCTAGCATCCTACCAGTCATTTTGCCTAAAATTGTAGTCCCACTGTTGTAAAAGCATAGCTTCTTCTCCAAGAAGTGTATAATAATAATAATAATAATTTCAATTTCAATTCCTTATTATTTATGAGCCGAGTCAACAGCCGCAAGACCAATTACAGACAGAGCACAGTGTAGATGAAAGTAATTACATTATAGGTGAAAGACAAATTACAGGCAAGTACTTGGGAAAACACAATAATGAAGAAAAGTAAACAAACAAACATAAAACTAAGTGTTATTAAGAAGTGAGAAATGAAACATAAATATTTAATTAAGAAATGAAAAGTATAGATTTTCAGAGGATAATAATAATAATAATTCATTTTGTTTTATTGCACATGCAAATAATAATACTAACAATTATACTAAGTGGCCTCCGTAGTCTAGAGGTAACGTTCCAACCTCATGACTCGTAGTACGCGGGTTCAAACCCGGCGGAGGTCGTGGAATTTTAAGGGCGGAAAAGTTCAGGGAACAAGTCCTCTGGGAGGGACTTTAAGCCGTGGGTCCCATGTCGTAGCTTTACAGCATGTAAAAGAACCTCATATCTCCTAAGGAGGTCACCGAACAAAATTCAAGGACATTTCCCGCCCAACAGTAGTCTCTAACACCTCTGATAGATGGGGGAAGCCAGTAGAGGCTGAACTCGCTGGCTTGGTCGGGACTGATGGTAAGCGCCAGNCAAGTTGTCACACCACTGGATATAGAATGCGTCAAAAATCAAAACAAATGTTCCAACCAATCACTGGAACAAGTCAAAATAACATAATATAAAACACAGACAACACAGTCACTAAACATAATAAAATGTGACTACAACAAGACTTAAATACTAGATGAAAACATATTAACCTTTTATCTTATAAAATTAATTCAGTTTATA